GGCCGTCTTTGTGGGGTCCGTTGGATGGACCTGAAATTTGACTATTTCGTCTGCTGGTTTAAAAGAGGTGGACTTAGATCTCTTATCGAGTATTACATCGTCCTTATTCACCGTGGAGCGTAGTGTAGTGAGTTCTTCTGTCGCTAGGGCTTCGGATAGTGCCTCTAGGGCTAGTGCGGCTGTCTTATTTTCAGCGCGGAGTGCTATGTCCGGATCACTGACTAGAGTGATGATTCCATTGGGCCCGGGCATTTTGAGCTTCATGTACCCGTAATTGGGTACGGCTTGGAAAATTGTGAATGCCTCTCACCCTAATAGAGCGTGATATCCGCTGCTGAACGGGGCCACTTGGAACGTGACTTCTTCGGACCTGTAGTTGTCCGGCGAGCTGAACACCACATCTAGTGTGATTTTTCCTGTGCAGCGTATTTCCCGACTAGGGATTATTCCTCTAAAGGTTGTGCTGCTTCGCTCAATGCGGCTCCAGTCTATTTCCCTTTTTGGAGGGTTTCCTCGTAGATGAGGTTTAATCCGCTGCCGCCATCCATGAGTACCTTGGTAAGACGAAAGCCGTCCACTATTGGACTGAGGACCAATGCGGCTGGTGCTCGGGCTGTTCGGAATTTAGGTTCGTCGCTGGCATTGAAGGTGATAGCCGTGTCGCTCCATGGATTTGTTGTTGCTACTTGGTAGACTTCGGCGAGGCTGCGGATTGTTCGTTTCCGCATATTATTTGATGCGAAAGTCTCGAAGACTGTTAATACCGTACTGGTACTGTTGGGCTGGTTCTCCGGGGCTAGAAGCCCTTCACCACTTTTGGCCACCTGCCGTAGTATCCAACATGCTCGGAGGCTATGTGTTGGAGTGGCGCCTTCTGCATTATGGATTTTGCAGGGTCCGCTGAGCCATCCCTCCAGTACGGTTTCGTACCCTTTAGGTTTTTTTTGCTTTTTGGTTTTTGACCCAGGTGCTTGAGCATGGTGCACCCTTTTATTCCGGACTAAGGTTGTGTTCAGGACCGGATTGTCCCAAAATCTAGTTTCCGTTTTCCAGGCACTCTCCATCGCACAGTATTTTCGTACTATGGTCGCCAGGTCGGCGAAGCGCGTGACCTCGCGATGACTTATGGCGTTCATGATTCCCTTGTCCGTGCAATTGCTGCAGAAAATAGAGATTGCGCTTTCCTCATGGCAGTCCTTTATCCTGTCCATAACCAGGAGGAATCTGGCCCAGTAATGATGTACTATTTCATCGGGCTCTTGCCGTATTTGAGATAGATCGCTTGTGTTTGGGTGGGCGGGTGGAACTAAATTCGGAACCCCGCCCAATCTGAGGCTCAAAGGCCGAGGAGTTTCCGGATTTGAAAGCTTGGATTGCTGGAGGTCGTCCAACGAATCTAGTCCGCTGTCTGACTTTAGGTTCAGTACTCGATTGACGTCCGTCCCTCCGCGGGAATCCGGCATGGAGGGATCGGGAATCCGGACATAACTGGGTTTTAACATAGAAGAAGAGTCGCCGCATTGTTCTTCTACCACAGCAACATGGTGGGTAGCCTGGGGAGAGTTAATTTCTCTCAGATTGGTTTTAAGCCCAATCTGATCGTAGTCTGTAGCGACTCCCATGGCGGCGATGCGATCCAAGAGCTCGTTTACGAAAGAGAGCTCCATCGGATCCAGCTGCTCGGCGAATTCCGAGTTGATGCGAAGATCGCTTTTGATGACCCGAGAGGTCATTGTCAAAGCGGTGGCCGAACAGGCGGTCATAAGAAAACCACCTAGCCGGATAGCTTGACCGGCGGCCAAAGCTCCTTTGGCAATGGTACCGTCTTTAAAGACGGGAAGAGGCATCCTTCCTGATTGCGACGGCACAGAGGAACTCTCAATGAAAGCACCAATGTCGGTGTCAAAACCGGCGGATCTCGGATAGGGGGTCCCGAACTGTGCGTCTAGGCGGATGGTAACAGGAGACAAGGGACACGATGTTTTACCCAGGTTCGGGCCCTCTTGATGGAGGTAAAACCCTACGTCCTGCTTGATTGATATTGATGATGTGGGTATTACAAGAGTAGATCTACCATGAGATCAAGGAGGCTAAACCCTAGAAGCTAGCCTATGGTATGATTGTTGTTATGTCCTACGGACTAAAACCATCCGGTTTATATAGACACCGGAGAGGGCTAGGGTTACACAGAGTCGATTACAATGGTAGGAGATCTACATATCCGTATCGCCAAGCTTGCCTTCCACGCCAAGGAAAGTCCCATCCGGACACGGGACGAAGTCTTCAATCTTGTATCTTCATAGTCTTGGAGTCCGGCCGACGATGATAGTTCGGCTATCCGGACACCCCCTAATCCGGGACTCCCTCATCCACCGAAAAAAAACGTAGAGAAACGTCGTCTTCACTTAGGCTCCGAGGAGCAACGAATCTTCTTGTGCCTAGACATGAGATATCTGAAATGCTCAAAGGACACGATTAGTCCGCAAATGCATTGTCATCAATCACCAAAACCACGTAGGGAGAAATATGCCCTTACAGACTGCCGCCGCAGATCCAATCGAGCCGCCACCCGGGAAGTCTAGATCCAGGCAGGCCCGACCCTGAAGACCGGGCAACGACCACCGTGCAAGCAGGCACTCCTCCGCGCACCCATTCCACCAACACCGTGCGACCGCATCGCCGCTGTCAATGGCGCCACCGTGAGCCACTCCTGAGAATGCGCCCAGGCGTCCACCGTAGGTCCCCCATGCTCCTTCGGTGGCGTGGGCCGCCGCCACCGCGGCGAAGCCGGCGGCAGCAACGGAGAGGAGGAAACCGAGAGGGTGTGGCTGGTGGCTGCGGGCAAGGTCACCCCCGAGTCACCCACGAGGAGCGACCCGAGGGTCCGGGCTCAACTCCATGACATATGAAAAATAGTGCAAAACAGAGAGAAACAAATACTCCTTCCGGTCCTTCTTACTCCGCATATAAGATTTGTCTGACGCCAAACTTCGCAAAGTTTGATCAACTTTATAGAACAAATATCAACATTTACAATGTGAAATCAACATCATTGGATGTGTCATGAATTTAATATTTACATTACATAATTTTACTATTATAGATGTTGGTATTTATGATCAAACTTTACATAGTTTCACACAATTTTTATGTACGGAGCAGAGAGGGAGTATATAGAAAACATAAAGATGTTGGCACGGTCGGCGTGGAACCCCCGTTATCCATAACGACACACCGAGCAGGAAGAGTAGGCATGCATCCACCGGTTGGCCGCCTACACCATCATCAGAAGTTTGACTTATATGCACCAAAACCAGTCGACCCGATCGTTGGCCATCAAGCCCCCAGCCACCTCGGTGGATAAGGCGATCAAGTGGGCCACGTGGGCCGAACACAGATCTGGATCAAATGATCGTGCCGTTTAGCAGTACTATACTTCTTTTTCACCACACACTATAAAAATTGCTCGTCCCTTTCCGAAAATCGGGAGCCAGCGGTGCCTGCTAGTGCTCGGCGCGTGCTTGCTGCTGACGGCTTCCACCGTCGAGCCGGCGGCGCCCATTTGGCAGCGGTGGATTTGACGAGCGAGCGAGGCGGGAGTGGTTAGCCCGGCCCCGCTGACCCAATTAGTACGCTGGGGTTAGCTGAACCGCAAACCCAACTAGTAGTCGCATCAGTAGTGCTTCGCGGAGCCGCGTCAGCCCGCCCATTTGCGGAAGCAAAAGCACAGATGAACGGGCCAGACTCGACGACTCGTTGTCTCGTAGTAGGTGTCAGGAGGAGGGCTGGTGATCGGTGAGCGGTGATTGCGCCGATGGCGAAGCGCATCGCATCGGCGCGTCGCATCGTCGCTGTGACGCAATGGAATAATGCAGGTTTCTTTCCTTCCCTTTCTTTTTCTGGAGAGCACGTAACGCAAAGTAGCAGTACGTGTGTAGCGTACGTGCGACCCAGGAGAGAGCAAAACCTGAAGCAAAGCACACGCACGCACGCACGCACGCACGCCACACGGGCGAGCCTTGCTCGGTTTCGAACTCGCTTAAATCTCGCGCTGTTTTTCAGGGCAGGAAGTTGGTTAAGTTACGTTATTACCCCCCCCTCCAACAGAAACGGAAGCCGTCAAAGTGAATTGATTTTTTAAAAAAGGCCTGCAACGGTAGAGAAAACATAAAAAAGCAACGATAAATAAAAAAAACCCGAAACGGCTCCGCGTCTCCGCCCCCAAAGCCCGCGGTGCGCGGCTACCGAACCGAACCGAACCGCCCGATGGCACTTGAGCCGTAAATACCACCCTCTTTCCACCCCTACCCCACCCCACGCCACACACGGTCGCTCGCCGGCACGGCGTGAAAAGGCCGTGGCCGTGGGGGGCCAGAAATTCCGAGGCACGGAAAGGGGGACGAGACCAGACAACAGCGAGGAGAGAAGACAGAGTTCGATAGTTAACCCGTCCGCCCGCTTGGTTCGTTGGATCGACTGATTGATTCCCGTTATTAATCCGGTCTCTGTCTCTGTTGCCGTTCCCCTCCCCTCCCCCTCTCGTCTCGACAGTACTGCTGCCGCAACAACAACAACTAAGTAGTAGCCTTCACGACTAAATCCACCACTCACACCTCCCCCCACCCCCACCCCCACCCGCGTCGTCTCCTCCTTCCTTCGCCCTCGCCCTCTTCGGACGGAGCCCCGGGGTAGGGTAGGGCCTCCACCAAACCCTAATCATTCGGGGGCGGTGGCTCGCCCGCCCGCCCGCCCGCCCGCCGGCAGGCCTCGATCTGATTGATTGCTCCCGGTGGTTGCGCCCCCGCCCGCGCGGAGGCGCCGGTGGCCAGGACCCGTCGTCCCGTCGGAGGCTGCGCGCGGCGTGAGGCGGGAGGAGGAGGCCGTATAGGAGGAGTTGATTCCCCGCGGACCAGGGATGAGGTGGAGGCTGGCGGAGACGGGGAGGCGGCGGCGGTGAATGGGAGCGGCGGGACGCTGCGGGGGCCAGCTTACTATACTACATGGATGCGAGCGGCCGCCGCGGGAGGGTGCTTTGGCTCGTCAGGCTCCAGGTGAGCTGCTGCCTCGATCCGGCTGGGGCGCCCGGGGTCACTACCCGGGTTTCGTGGATTTGGGGCGAAATGGTCGGGAGACCCGGTTTGCCTTGGATGGATTTCGTACGAATTGGTTCGCATTCTGGGTTTCTCGTGGCGATTTGGTAGATTTGGCCTGCCTTCTCCGGTGTAGGGTTTTACTGTTCCGCCGCGGACTTTCTTGGGCAAGGAAGGGAATGTTTCTCCCGGAGCTACTATTTTTGGGCATCTGGGTCGCAGTTAAACTAGTGAAAGCAGATGAATCAAAACTTGCCGTTTTTGGATGGATTCCTTGCTGTTTGCCCATTCAATTTGCTGATACACTTCTTACCGGCTGTGGTCCAGTACCATTACAAGGAACTGCTGCATTTTTATTGATACCCATAATCAATTCTTTCATTTTTTTGCTCCTGCTGCAGATTGTGTTGATTCTAGTCTGGTCTGGAGGAGCTAGTGCAAATTCCGACGACGGCAAAGCATCGTTGTCGCTGGAAGGCGCGGATGCTGGAGACAAGGATGTTTACCTTAGCCATTCTTGCATCCATGACGAAATACTGCATCAGCGGCGACGAGCTGGTCGAAAGGAGTATTCTGTCATGCCACAAGTCTACCATATGCCCCGAGAGAAAGTGGAGCGCGTAAGAGGCAGGCAATTGTTGGGGGTGTCATCTTGGCGTGCTCCACGGAGTAATGTCAAGAAGCCAATACGGATATACCTCAACTATGATGCTGTTGGACACTCACCCGACCGGGATTGTAAAAATGTTGGTGACATTGTCAAGGTAGGTTTGACATAAGCTTATGCCGCGTCAGGAGCTGCTTTAATATCCTGGCTGTAATGCTGAGTTCGCTGTTTGGTCTTGCTAGCTCGGTGAACCTCCTGTACCATCGGCACCAGGAACACCTATCTGTTCTCCTCATGGAGACCCACCATTGGTGGGAGATTGCTGGTACAATTGCACCTTCGAGGATATAGCTGGGGAGGACAAGAAGCAACGACTTCGGAAGGTGCAGTTCTTGTGCTTTTGGTGGTTCTGTCTGTCATTTCGGTCTGAAATGCGGCATAGCTTAAAAATGACAGGATACGCTATTGTCATGTTATTCTGTGTGCTAAATGCTGAGTTGGATTACTGGCAGGCACTGGGACAAACAGTAGAGTGGTTCAGAAAAGCTTTAGCTGTCGAACCTGTCAAGGGGAACCTGCGGCTCAGTGGGTACTCTGCTTGTGGCCAGGATGGAGGCGTACAGCTTCCCCATGCGTACATTGAAGGTAATTTGCCGTTATAATTAGGCCATCTTGTAGCCTTTTTGATCTGGTTCTCCATTGATTTTTTTCCTGAATTGCAGATGGTGTTGCTAATGCTGATTTAGTACTCTTAGTAACAACTAGACCAACAACAGGCAATACCCTTGCATGGGCTGTAGCCTGTGAACGAGACCAATGGGGTCGTGCAATTGCAGGTTTGTAAGCCCACTCACATTCGCATACAAATATTAACAGGCAGGAGAGGTTGTAATGCTATTCTGAACTAACATATGCATGTTTTGTATTTAGGACATGTTAATGTGGCCCCTCGCCATTTGACGGCTGAAGCAGAAACATTACTTTCTGCTACTTTGATACATGAGGTCATGCATGTTCTAGGCTTTGATCCTCATGCCTTCACACATTTTCGTGACGAAAGGAAAAGAAGGCGTGATCAGGTAATTGGCGATGTCTTTCCTCTTATTGGTGTAGTATATTTCCATCTGCTGTTGTAGATCCCAGTGTTAAGTGCTGATGTTTGCCTTATTGTATTTGGGTTAGATGTAACATTCAAAACTGCTTTTACCTTTTATCTTTAAAGGGTTTATGACCGAAGTGCTCAACAATCCAGTGGGCACTACAGTTGTTCGGCAGCCTTACATGTTAGTTACCAACTTACCATATCAGCCTAGTATTACGACTTAGGTTTGGGTTTAAGCTGAGAAGTCACGAATTATCTCCAAGTTTACAAGTACTAATAAGTCAGGAGGTATTCGCACAACTTTTGGGGCTTATCTATTAAGAAATGAGCCTGTTGGAATGTTTCGCATATGTGCTGTAAACCCAGCTTATGAGATTATTATTATTAATCGCAATCCATTATAAGAAAAGCCAGAAAGGCCTGTACGAATATTGAGAAACAACCAATTGGCAAACCTCAGCACTTGTGGTTAAATAGTCCACTATGCAATGGAATATTTTTTGATGCTTTCAAATCTCTCATAGCAGCCATTTGATATCTGTGCTAAAGCCTTTTTATGTGTAATGAGCATTAACTGGCTGGCATGATAGCTGATGCGTGCACGCCTTGCTAAGGAGTATATGCAGCCATGCAGGTGGCTTGATATTCAGTACATATGATTCATATAGAATGATAGACCATAATTTTCTTCCATGCCTTGGTGCAATAGGCAGCGCATCACTTCTCATTCAACTAGTTGTTGGAAACAAACCTACACAAGAATGTCCCATAAGTGAGGACCATGATTGGGAGAACTGTGTATGTTCCATACAACAAAAACAAAGCCTTCAGCCCCAAACAATTTGGGGTAGGCTAGAGCTGAAACCCATAAGATCTCGCAACGAACTCGTGGTTCTGGCACATGGATAGCAAATTTGAACCACATGGATAGCAAATTTCCACGCATCCCTGTCCATGGCTAGTTCTTTGGTGATACTCTAGTCCTTCAGATCTCTATTTACGGACTCCTCCCATGTCAAGTTCGGTCTACCTTGACCTCTCTCGACATTATCAGCACGCTCTAGCCGTCTGCTGTGCACCAGAGCTTATGGAGGCCTCTGAATATGCCCAAACCATCTCAGACGGTGTTGGACAAGCTTCTCTTCGATTGGTGCTATCCCAACTCTATCTCGTATATCTTCATTCTGGACCTGGTCGTTGTGTGGCCACACATCCATCTCAACATGCGCATCTCCGCCACACCTAACTGTTGAACATGTCGCCTTTTAGTCGGCCAATACTCAGCGCCATACAACATTGCTGGTCGAATCGCCGTCCTGCCTTTTAGCTTTTGTGGCACTCTCTTGTCACAGAGAAAGCCAGTAGCTTGGTGGCAATCATCCATCTGGTCGATGGTTCACATCTTCACCGATATCCCCATCCTTCTGCAGCATCGACCCAAAATATCGAAAGGTGTCCTTCTGAGGCACCACTTCCCCATCAAGGCTAACCTCCTCCTCGTGCCTAGTAGTACTGAAACCGCACCTCATGTACTCGGTTTTAGTTCTACTAAGTCTTAAACCTTTTGATTCCGAGGTTTGTCTCCATAGCTCTAACTTCCTATCAACCCTCGTTCGACTATCATCGACTAGCACCACATCATCCGTGAGCATACACCATGGGGTATCTCCTTGTATATCCCTTGTGATCTCATCCATCACCAAAGCAAAAAGATAAGGGCTCAAAGCTAACCCCTGGCGCAATCCTGTTTTAATCAGGAAGTCATCAGTGTCGCCATCACTTGTTTGAACACTTGTCACAACATTATCGTACATGTCCTTGATGAGGGTAATGTACTTTGCTGGGACTTCGTGTTTTTCCAAGGCCCACCACATGACATTCCACAGTATCTTATCGTACGCCTTCAACAAGTCAATGAACACCATATGGAGGTCCTTTTGCTCCCTGTATCTCTCCATAAGTTGTCGTACCAAGAAAATGGCTTCCATAGTCGACCTCCCATGCATGAAACCAAACTGATTTTTGGTCATGCTTGTCATTCTTCTTAAGCGGTGTTCAATGACTCCCATAGCTTTATTGTATGACTCATCAGCTTAATCCCACGGTAATTAGTACAACTCTGAACATCCCCCTTGTTCTTAAAGATTGGTACTAATATAGTTGCCATACTATTGTTATGTCTCCGAGGCCTCTCCACACCTCAATGGGGATACAATCAAGGTCCATTGCCTTGCCTCCTTTCATCCTTCTTAAAGCCTCCTTGACCTCAAACTCCTGGATTCGGCGCACAAAACGCCTGCTGGTATCATCAAAGGAGTCGTCCAGTTCAATGCTAGAGCTCTCATTCTCCCCATTGAACAACTTGTCGAAGTACTCCCGCCATCTATATGCTTAATCTCATCATCCTTCATCAGGAGCTGGTTTGCTCTGTCCTTGATGCATTTGATTTGGTTGACATCCCGCGTCTTCCTCTCTCGGATCTTGGCCATCTTATAGATGTCCCTTTCGCCTTCCTTCATGTCTAACCGTTGGTAGAGGTCCTCATACGCACGGCCCCTTGCTTCACCATAGCTCGCTTTGCGGCCTTCTTTGGCACCTTGTACTTCTCTATGTTGTCTACACTCCTATCCAGGTAAAGGCGTCTGAAACAATCCTTCTTCTCCTTAAGAGCCTTCTGGACATCATCGTTCCACCACCAGGTATCTCTAGCTTCGCTTCTACTTTACTTGGATACTCCAAACTCTTCTGATGCCGCCTTACGAATGCAAGTCGCCATCTTCATCCACATATTGTTTGCATCACCTCCTTCCTCCCAAGGGCCCTTCTTAATGACCCTCTTTTTGAATGCCTAAGCTACCCCCTTGAGCTTCCACCACTTCGTTCTAGCGACTTTGGCACGCTTATCCCACATGCTTATCCCGCTGGACATGAATCCCAAAGCGGAAGTCAGCCAACCACCACAAGCTTATGCCGAGGGATAACACCCTCCAGGTATCACCTTACAATCTAGGCAAGCATGCCTGTCTTCTCTTCTTGAGAGGGTGAAATCTATCTGGCTAGTGTTGACCACTACTAAAAGTCACTAGATGTGATTCTCTCTTTTTAAAGAGGGTGTTAGCTATGATCATGTCGTAGGCTAGAGCAAAGCTTAAGACATCTTCTTCTTGATTCTTGATGCCATAGCCGAAGCCCCCATGCACCCCTTCAAAACCTGTGTTAGATGTACCCACGTGCTCTGTTTTTAAGGCGTCCCGCCTTGGACGCTTAGGCGACGCTTAGGCGATAAGGCGCCCCGCCAGCGCCTTACAAATATGCCCGCCTTAGGCGCTTAGGCGTCCGCCTTAGGCGCTTAGGCGTCGCCTAGGCGATAAGGCGCCCCCCCAGCGCCTTAGATCGCCTTACCGCCTTAAAAACATAGCCCACGTGGCCATTGAGGTCTCCTCCTATGAAGAGCTTCTTGCCAATAGGTACACTCCTAACCATGTCTTGCATGCCTTCCCAGAACTCCCTCTTGGTGTTCTCATTGGGGCCTATTTGCGGGGCATACGCACTGATAACATTGAGAACCAAGTCCCCAACTACCACCTTGACCAGGATAATCCAGTCCCCACGCCTCTTGACGTCTACCACTCCATACTTGAGGATCTTGTTGATCAAGATCCATTTCTGTTTGCAGTCATCCCCGTGTACCATAGCTTGAAGCCAGTAGCCTCCACCTCCTTCACCTTTTGTCCCCTCCATTTGGTTTCTTGGACACAAAGGATATCAACACCTCTCTTCACCGTTGTATCAACTAGCTCCTGAAGCTTACCTGTTAGGGACCCTACGTTCCAGCTACCTAAGCAGATCCTCCTAGGCTTGGCTAGCTTCCTTACCCTTCGTACTCGTAGAGTCAAATGCGAAGACCGATGTAGTGCGCCACTAAGGATGCGACGACCCGATCCTTGCTCACTTGCCGTATCTAGATCAAGATACGGCAGGCCACCAGGGGGTGACGGCCCGGCCCCCATTTGACACCACACCCGGGTTCCGATATGGTGCGTCGCTGAGAGGGTTACGCCCCAACGATTTTCTTTCGGGTTTCATCTCCATAAGAGTGGCTGAGTTTTGACGTTGGCTCACCAAGCCTATTACAACCCTCCTTTACCTCGGCTACCTGCTATGTTGCGACAACATAGGCGGAGTTAACCGTGTATGTTCTATGCAAGTGAATTTCTGGATTCTTAAAGAGACAATCTCAACTCTTAACTCTATTCTCTTGCTTCCTTACTTATAAAGGTTGGAGTTGGTGGTGAGTTCACATGTGGGACAATCTTCACCAATAAAAATATGCACCCTTACCCACATGTGGGACTAGCAACCTTCCAAGAGACATAAATAAACAAATGTACTTTTACCCACATGTGGGACCTAAAACTAATAAACAAGTACACTACTACTTTCATGTGAGACCAACACTTGCAGAATGCACAAATAACAAATGCAAAAATGTGACTCCAACTCAAAATTATGCTCTTGTTTTCAGTTTCTCTTTCTAACCAAGCTCTTCCAATTCTATATCAGAGAACGAGTGAACAAATTGTAATTCCAAAGCGACGGTAGACCTTGCCCTTCTACCCAATAGACGACCTTGTGCAGTCAACTTACTAATGCCTATTCTCATATGTTTCAACATTAAAAATATTATGTCTTGCAAAGAACCTACTCCTATTGCTTAAGATTCTCCAACCCCTGCAGCATGATCTTTCGATATATTTTCACTATTTTAAATCAGGAATCACGTGCAAAGGCCGCAGGACACCAACGTATTTTGACGACTTCCTAAGCCAGTGACCGAACTCATCATATTTTATAGTTTCGTAGTAGCAACACACGGGCATTGTGCTAGTAATAACTCTTATAAACATCTGAGTTGGTGGTGTTCACCTTCAAAGATTACCTCTTAAGTTGGCAAGAAATTTGTTACCGCAGTTATCGTATATTCTATGTAGTGGACAGATGTATCACGACCTTTGATTAGCTGGTCCAGTTGAGGTACATTTTGAGATATTTCTTTATTTGCACAAAGCTGGGGACTACGATGACACATGCGTTTAAACAACTCAAGCAATAAAAAGAACTTACATAACAATGCATGAGCATTTAACTTCAGTAGCAACACACAAGTATTTAGCTAGTTAGATTGAACTATCTTATCAGCCTGTGGGCCCATGATCCACACCCCACAGGATGATCAAGGGTGTGCACAACTGGACTTTGACATGTCCTGTCCAGCAGGCCCTTGTTTGCACTAACCCTTCGCCCTCTCCCTCTCCCCTCTTTTTCTTGGCTGATTGCATTTTGGCTTCAAAGGAAATGAATTATCCTCCAAAAGAAATTCAGTTTCTGCTGTCGTTCTCTTCACGGAATACCTTCTGGTGATTTGTTGCTAAGAGAATGCAAAACTCACTTGGATTTCGGCCAACCAACAGCCTGATTTCCGCATGTGTAGCTCATGATGGATTTGCGCCTTGTGACCGGAGTAAACCGGGACCATGTTCTTGTAATCTTTGAGCCCTTCAGCACTAGGTTCTTTTTTTTGAATGTTTTGAAGATTCCTCACCACGCCTGCCACGTGGTCTTCAGCACTAGGTTCTGAGTCCATTGGTTTGGCACAAGGACAGGCCATTGTTTGGTGCTCATCTTTTCGGTCTTCCACTCTTGTGCACTGATGTTCAGAGATTCACAAAATATCTCTTTCCTGTTAGGTAAAGGATTTAGTCGAGGCATTATGTTGGAAATTATTGCGCCTTCTGCTAAAAAAATCCTCCTGTGCATTCATATCGTTCGGTTGTTTGTGGGAAAAAAAGGTTTTCTGCAAAGGAGCATACTTGGGGTACCTCTTAGAGCCTGAGGGAGAAGAGCTTTAGAAAGAATACACATCACCACATATATTCAGTTTCTCCAGTGCAAAACTTCTCTGTTTACTTCCATTGATTAGTAGTATAGCCTGAAAAACTATGTGGAAGTACTTTTGCCATATCTCTTTTTGATGATAGTTTATGCCCCTTGCCTAGTTCGCATTGCACACTGATGTTGATCTCTCTCTTTTCAGGTTACTGTTCAGGCTTTGGACGAAAAGCTTGGAAGAATGGTTACCCGTGTTGTCCTTCCTCGAGTTGTAATGCACTCTAGGCATCATTATGGAGTAAGTAGTAACTGAAGATTTGTGAGCTATGTTGAATCTTTTGGATTGTTCATGTGATTGCCACTGTCAATCGCTTCTCCATTTTTATATGTTACTTACATAAAGAAAGCTGCTTCGTACTAATTGATACATTTCTTCATCGTGTTAGGCATTTTCCCAGAACTTCAGTGGGCTGGAATTGGAAGATGGCGGAGGCAGGGGTACCTCAGGTACTGCCAAAAAACTAAATCTCCATAGTTTGATGTTTGTATTTACTGACATTTACGTATTATATGAGTTGAGAATACCCCCAGTTGTGTAGATTTCCTCTCTTCACTAACATTTGACACTCTTAACAGGTTCACATTGGGAGAAAAGACTCTTAATGAATGAGATCATGACTGGGTCGGTGGATACAAGATCAGTAGTTTCAAAGATGACCTTAGCATTATTGGAGGACAGTGGATGGTATCAAGCTAATTATAGCATGGCTGAGCATTTAGACTGGGGTCGAAATCAGGGAACAGAGTTTGCGATCTCCCCCTGCAATTCATGGAAAGGGGCATACCGCTGCAACACAACTCAACTATCAGGATGCACATACAATAGGGAGGCAGAAGGTTACTGTCCTATAGTTAGCTATAGTGGGGACTTGCCCAAGTGGGCTCAATATTTCCCTCAAGCCAATAAAGGTGAGATAAATGGTCCTTTTTGTTGACATTATACGGGCTGTTCAAATGACATAGGGAACTCTTAATATGGATTTAATTTTTCTGTTTAATCACTGTTAGTTCTTACACCTCCTCTTAGTTGAGGGGAGGCACACTATTTTTTCTGTACTAAATGCATAACTTTGGTTGGGTGCAATTAGTATATAGCTGTTGGCATGTTAGGACTTGGGAGTACCCCATCAATCCACTCTATCCTCTCTGAAAAGTGTGCAAAGCTTTGCCTTCTGCTGCTGTTTCGCAATAATCTCCCACTGCAGAGTAAGTTGAATCTCCTAATCCAAGAGGTGATCCTGATAAGCTATTGAGGGGATCAGTTTTAGAACTATCTCTGAGGTTAAAAAATCAATTATTCTTTCTGGAAGTCTCTTTTTTCATGTTCTATTCAATCTTAGGGTCTGTTATGCATTTTGGTTTCAGAAAGCACTTCATTTTCTTTGGCTGCTGTCGTGCTGTAACAGAGACATATTACTTGCACACCAGAAAATGAGTACAGATCAGCTAGTAATTAGATTACGTCACAACACACAACAACAGAAGGATCCTCCCATCCTGTTTTATCTTCTTTCCTTCTTAATCCTTCAATACTTGTATGTCAGCATGCCATGTTTTGAGTTTCTCATACACAATTTCACATCTGTAGGTGGACAGTCATCATTAGCTGATTACTGCACATATTTTGTTGCTTATTCCGATGGCTCGTGCACTGACGTAAATAGTGCACGAGCACCTGACAGAATGTTAGGTGAAGTACGAGGAAGTAACTCGAGGTGAGACTGCTGAAGATAATTTGGATGCATGCTCATTATAAAACACTCGGTTTCACAATTCTGACTGTTTTCTGAAAATTCGCCAATGTACAGGTGTATGGCTTCAACACTAGTGCGAACTGGGTTTGTCCGTGGATCTATGACCCAGGGAAATGGCTGTTATCAGCATCGCTGCACAAATAACTCCTTAGAGGTGACTACTCTTTCATTTATTATATCACTTTGCACTAAGTTAAACTTTGCCTGGACCTTGTCTTTTTCCAACTATTCTCGTGCAGTGTTATATTTTTATTCCAGGTGTGGTGTCTGTTATTTGTAATGTTCATCATAATAATTGCCAAAAATATAATCTATGGCTATAGGAACTTATGTTCGGTTCTTCACTCCTAAAATACTAAATGGCAGTGACAGTAAGTTTAGTTTACTTCACATGCACCAATGGTAGTCTTGTGTGCAGATTTTAAAATGTCGAATATGATTATGGATTTGATCGACAACTCTTGTCACCATTGGATTTGTATGGAGATTGATGTGCCACGTGATTACACTATTTTTGCTACCTACAATGCAGTCATGCAGCTAGCTCTCTTTTTTTTGGGTGATTATCTTCATGTTTTGTGTTTTTTAACTGCATCATCATACTGTTTCTGATACTGGCCACATCACATTTTCTCAAGCAATGAATTATGAATCATGTTCCTATTGTCAATTTTAAAATGCCGTCGAACAATGATAGGTTGCTGTTGACGGCGTCTGGAAGTCATGTCCAGAATCTGGTGGCCCAGTTCAGTTCCCAGGCTTCAATGGTGTGTCTTGTTGTCTGAGGTGTATTAAATCAAGCTCTGTTCTTTAGTTCTCACTTCTCACTCAAGTTAATTTTGTGCTGAAGGGGACTTGATTTGCCCGGCATATCATGAATTATGCAACACCGTACCAGTCCAAATAAGCGGCCAGTGCCCCAAGTCGTGCAGTTTCAATGGTGATTGCATTGCTGGAACCTGCCACTGCTTCCCTGGATTTCATGACCATGACTGCAGTAGAAGTGAGTATACAGCTGCACAACCCTGGATGTTTTTTTTCTTCCAGTTATTAACTTTTTCAGCACAAAATTCTCTAATTTGTATCCTGGAAATGATGATGAATAACCTGGAGGTTCAAGTGAAACATTTATTTGGTGCCAAACGTGCCATGCAACTTTTATCGTGTTCTGTTTCATGTGAATTGTCAATCAGGATGAAGCAAATAGCCAACATGTACAATCTGCAATTATTGGTCATACGAAGAATGTGTAGTCCTTGATTTCTTGAGAAATTGGCATGATCGCCATCCTGATATATTGAAGTGCTCATTCTGTTTACTAACTAGTGTTGGTTTGGGTCAACAGGATCTTGCCCAGACAAGTGCAGTGGTCATGGTATATGCAAAGCTAATGGGATCTGTGAATGCGAAAATGGCTGGACTGGAATTGACTGCTCAACAGGTAAAAACTTAATAACAACTGAAAGTCTCTATAGATGCACACATCTATTACTGTGGGCTGTATTCATGAGGTTTAGGCCATGGTGAAGGCCTGAAGAATTTCGCATGCTAACTTCTACAAATCCATTTGCATTGTGGGATGAAAGACATGGTTTGTGATATCAGTAAAGTTTGCAATTTTAGAATGATCAAACATCGAAGCTCACAATGCGTTGATTAGCTTGGGCCCCTTAGTTGCTCTGCTCTTAATTGAACAAGCTATAGTAATGTCTTATTTCATTGTATGCAGCGGTTTGTGATGAGCAGTGTAGTTTGCATGGAGGGGTTTGTGACAATGGTAAATGCGAGTTTCGATGTTCAGATTATGCGGGCTACACTTGTCAAAAGGGTTCGACAATACTGCCCAGCCTGTCAATGTGTCATGATGTACTCGTTCGGGATTCTGATGGGCAGCATTGTGCACCAAGTGAACTCAGCATACTACAGCAACTCGAAGCAGTAGTTCTTGTGCCAAATTACAATAGATTGATGCCAAGTGGGCGGACTTTCCTTAACTTCTTCAACAATGCCAATTGTGCAGCAGCGGCGAAGCGGCTGGCTTGCTGGGTACTGCTCCCTCTGACCATTTCTCAAATGTTTATGTCATTAACTTCCTTCTGATATTTCGAAATTATGTAGCCCCAGTTGCTTACCCATGAGATTATATTTTGCCGTTAATTGCTGCGTTAGAAGAACATATTGAGTACAGCTTGCATTAAGTGGGTGAATAGTGACACTTAGATTATCTTCCTATTTTTGGAATGTTTAACTTCAGCTGCATACTTACAGGAAGTTTAGTTCTCACTACAGCTTCTAAAAACAAGCATAATAGATCAAGTTGCACAACTTATCTCAAATAGACCAATAAATGCCACTTTGAAGACGCGTATATACTTAAATAGATTGCAGTATGTAAGATGCCAAGTAGTGGTGATGTTTAAGCTAATAGACAATTTTATTGGCCATGCGGCAGTGCCCTCCTTGTATACGTGGCCTTATAGTTTTGTGCTGTTAAGAGGGAAAACTGTCTTCTCATCTCATTCTTATTACTCCATTGATCAGATCTCAATTCAAAGGTGCGACGAGGATGGGGACAACAGGCTTCGGGTGTGCTACTCCGCTTGCGAGTTGTACAATACGGCATGTGGGGCGGGTCTTGATTGCTCGGACCAGACCCTTTTTAGCAAGAGGGAGGAAGAAGAGAAGGGCGTTCCATGCACAGGATACGGTGAGAAGAAATCTTCCTGGCTATAACAACTTCCCTGGGAGCGCTTCTTCCCCTTATTACTCTGGCCGAAGCTCAGAGGTGTAAAGTATAAGCCGCATTGCCCTATCCATATTCATTTTCGTTTTTAGCCAATGCTTTCCAATTGTAGGATACGGAAAGTAGAGGTCCATTTCACCTGGGCACTCGAAGATGGGTGCCTGGTGTCAGTATCTGGGTCTTCTCTTTGTTTAGAAGGTTAGTCTGACTGGAGGGGGCAGGGAGTGGGAAGCTGGGTGGTGGGTGGTAGGTTCCTTTTTCTTCTTCGTCGGAGAATAGTGGAGGGAAGAATGTAAATGTTAATGTGTGTTGTAATCCATGACTACATTCTTAACAGAGCATTTCAACGAGAGAAGGAAGACCCTGTGCTTTGCCTTGCATGATCAATGTTAACCTCATGCATTCATGATATACCTGCTTATACACCTGATGTCTTTTCTTGTCGAATCCAAATTCGTCAAAAGAGATACAGCTGATGCCTTTTCTCGTCGAATCCAAATTCGTCAAGAGTGAATGCTAGTGAGCTGCTCATGATAAAATGTTCCCAACACGGCATCTTATCGTTGAATAATTTTTTCAGAGTCATGCTTCTATAGTTTCCTGACGCAATCAGATTTTGCCGATTTGCATCATGGTTTATGTGCACCATCAAGGCAGCTTGACTTGGATTCTTCCATTTCATGGTACCGTTCATCATGTGCTCCTCTTCAGTACAGATCAACTTTGCATACCAAAGATGAAACATGGCGCACAATGATGTTAGAGATGACAGCCTTATGGTTTTGTTGGTATTATTATTACTCCCTTTTGTTTCTGAACAAGGTGTTGTTTCAGCAACATATCAGCGTTTGCGCTAGTGTACATAATACAGTATCCTGGAACCATCAAAGCTAATTTACTGGCTTCATTTGACATGCAAACAGCTAACTTCAACCGTGTTTGTAACCAGGGCGCTGCTCAAAGTATGGCCGTTCCAAAGGCGACATCATTGTTTCTGGCCGTGTTCTTTGTCGAGGGCATACCGGCAGTAACATCTTCTTCGATGCCACATTCATTCTTGCCCCTTATGATCTTGAAGTACCCGTCCTACAATGCATTACCACCAAAAAGTTTATTAATTCAGCCCAATACCCTGTTACTAACATTCACTCTGGTGCTTTAATAATGCGAGGAATTTGTCGCAAACTTACATCACCCCAGCCTCTGTTCCACTGATTTGCAAGAAGCTGAAGAGCAGAAGACGAAAGAAAACATGTCAGGACTTGATCATTGGTTAATAAATAGTGTAAGATAGAGAATCAACAAGATACCCAGTAATCCTCGCCAGCATCACTGGTTCCCCAACCAATCAACTTGACGGCGTGACCTCCCATCACGCCACCTGTGATGTGCTTGTACACTCCTGACTTGTAGTGTGCGAAGTCCTTCACAATTTGGCAGTACTAAATCAGCAACCCGAGAAAAAAGAAACAGTATTGCATGTTTCATTTTACTCACTAGAGTGCCTATGTTAGTTGTTTCTAAGGTTTTGCTAATAATTTACAGCAGTAACTGCAACCTATGGTCCGCCACTGACTTCTGCTAAATAGCATTTTTTAGAACCTTGGGTTAAAACTCAGAAATAGGAAAAATACTAAAAGTTTACCTCATAAACGGTGAAAGCAACTTCTACAGGGCCATTTTTGTAGACCTCTGCCATGATGTCATGGGGATCAGAATGTACTCTGTACGCATTAACACTGAAATGCTTCTTTTCCTTCCACACTTGGTTCTGCACCTTGCATTTCCTTTGACATTTTGGTGTAGGATAAGCTGGCTCGCATCCAGGATGCTGGCAACCAGTCTGATCGAAGTATGGATCGCACTGCAAAAAGAGTGGGAAAAAAATCAGGTTAGTGGTATGCCAAGCAGAATTTTATACAGCAAACAACATGGGGAAATCGCTACTTGAATAAATACATTAACATGAAAGAGGAGAAAACCCTAAATTATGAAGCTAACAAAGCAGGACATGATCGAACTTTCAGCCGTTGTAGGCAGGAAAGAGAAGCCATACATGTGCACTGGTATCAATTTTGATCAAGATTGACGGAAATTTTGACGATGGTTCATCTATTTTATGTTTCGCGTTAAGCTGCAATAACTTTCCTAAGCTTTAAACACAGACACTTGTATCTTTTTCTCAAAGCAACTTGGAATGAATTTACACAATCAGTAAAACTGAAGAATACAATATGCTCCTACTAATTACTATCTCCCTTATGTTTTGGTTCAAATTTACACTGTTAGCATTTCGCACCACATACTCCCTCCGTTCCGAATTACTTGTCGCAGGTATGGATGTATCTAGATGTATTTTAGTTCTAGGTACATCCATTTCTGCGACGAGTAATTTGGAACGGAGGGAGTATCATATATCCACTAACTCAACTGCAAGATTTATGGAGAATTTCAGTACAGCTTGCATTAATAACTGATGAGAAGTCCAGTTTACATAGCATTGTTTGACATATTCCACATACCAAGGATTTTAGTTAGATAACAGATACTTGTTGCTCTTGGAGGACCAGAACATTCAAGTGGTACAAAGTAGAAGAGTATCATATATACCTCCTCAGTGACGATACCACTGCGACGGAAGTAGCGCCATGCGCTGATAGGATATCCTCCATTACAACCGCTACCACACAGAAAACCACAGCAAGCCAGTAGGTCATTGACCGAAAGTGTGACGCTCTGCAAGGAGTACAAACAGCAACTAGGTTATGTAAGGATAAGGACCAAACGTGCCTGTTTGAAAGTAGTTTGAGAGCAGATACATCGTTCATATGCACTCACCATGTTGAGATGAATACAGAAACGATCCTGGAGAGCTTCCACGGCAGCAAAGGCCCAACAGGCACCACAGTGACCCTGCCATTGTTAACCAATACATAACATAATACCATGAGCATCTCATGATTCAGTAAGCATTCATGGAGCTAACAATTTAAGGTAGTGTGAATATTCTTACTTGATCTGCTCATGAGATTCCGCGTTTTCCAGTGTATTGGAAAGGTAGAGAGGAAATGGAGTGAGTCAAAGTAATCAAAACGATGCAGGTAGCCAATTTCTGGCTGAAATTTGAAAGTGGATCAACATTGAGTTATCTTGTTTTACTTACCAAGTATGTTCCCAATTGTGCTGCAACTGGACCATTGAGTTCTAGCGTCAAACTCCTTGGGGAGATCCACTGATTCTGGATGGGTTTGGATTGGAACACCAGCGAGCAAACCCGGAGGCGTTGGCTTCACACCCAGGATATGCTTGAATTGCTCAATCTGCATGGAGGAGGGTGATTTTCAGGTCAGAATGCAAGGAAGGAAAAAATTGTTGCCTTGATGATGAGAACAACAGGAGGGTGTTGCTGTTTAGTGTTTACAGTGTAGTTTGCGAAGTAGGGGTTGTGTCCAGCCGTCCACCCGGCATTGGGATGCTTGTTGACCGTCTGAATGATGTCCTTCTGCGACAGTACAATACAACACCATATCATGAAGAGCAATACAAACAATAGATTTAGAGATGGTGTCAATCTGAGTGGGACTAAAAGTCACCTGGATGATTCCTAGGGAATGCTCTGCCTTGGCTGCTCCCGCTAGCTGCATGTACATAGAGATTTTAAGCAAATATATATGTGATTCAGCTAACCGAGTAACACCCTGACCCCCTATCTATTCGGTGTTAGGATCGGGTTTTCGTTCTTAGCAATTTTTGTTGTCCGTGATCTTGCTACCTCAGCCCCCCCCTCCCCCGCGTCGCCCTCCCCACGGGCGACTCGGGAGGCGACGCAGCCCTCAAGCGCTCCCTCCCCTCCTCCTCCCCCTCCCCCTGCCGCCGCCGGTGCTCCCCGCCGGGCAAAGCCCTGGTGGATCCGGCGGCGGCGGGACTTCGCTCCCAGGCGGCCTCCCCCCTCGAGCGTGGGGCTCGACGAGGCTGACGGAGCTGCGCTTCTCCGAACCTAGGGTTTCGCGACGGCGGCCCCAGATCCAGAGGGTCGGGCCTCTGGACTGGCGTGGCGAGCACGCGGGCGGCGCGGCGCGACCCTTTGGGGGCGCGGCTGCGGCTGCTTGGCTGTGCCCCGGCGGATCCGGGTGGCGGAGGCTGCGGGCCGGCGCAGCAGCGGCCATGGTCGGCGGCGGCAAGGTGCAGGTGGCTGGTCTCCGCGACGGCGCCACTAGCCCTGCTCGACGCGTCCCGTGCGATGGCTGGCCTTGTCTGGCAGCCATCCAGCAGCTGCTGCACTGCGCTGGCCGGTGCTTCCCTACATCGAGAGTGACAATACGTGGTTTCCCTCTCGGTGCTGGTGGTCCTCTCTGGCGATCTGCTTCCCCATCTCCTGTTTGCTCTGCTTCGGCGGTTTTGGGGTTCTGGTCTTGGGCCGGGCGAAATCCCTGCGCGGCGATGGCCTGCGCTGACAACGGCGACACCTGAGGGTGCCGTTACCTCCATGGAGGCGCTGTCATGGCCCAGACTGGACCCTCTCCTCGGGCACCGGGGGAAACCCTTGGTCCAGTTCCCTGGACAAGGCAGCGACGGCGTCTCAGCGCCGTTCCTTTCTTGAAAGCGCTGCTTGGGTCGCACTTGGAGTCCCCTATGCGTCAGCTGGAGATGGTGGCCTCCCCGGTCTTTCCGGCGAGGTTTGCTGGTAATGCGATGCTGTGATGAGGGCTGCAGCATGGAGCGTGGGCGTCCGGGGCGCAATGTACGCCGGCGCCGGCACGTCCAAGACGATGGCTTCGCTAGTTTTGGCTGGGTCCTGCCATCCACCTGCCGTCTCCTAGGCACATATGGGTGGAAGGTACGTTGGCCCGGTCAGCCCTGGAGATGCAGTCTTCTTCGGAGGCGCCTGGCAACGGCTGTGACGCGGCCTTGAGGCTCTGTGTCTAGCTACCTTGCCATTCATGGTTGGAGGCTGGACAAGGCTAGACCTTTCGTTGTTGCGGTCTGTAGT